AGTATATATAAATATGGTAATTATATTATATTATGTGTAATAGTATGTTGTGATTATAGTATATGTGATAATATGTGTGTAAAGAGTTATAGTGGATATATATGGTATATATGGATATATATACATATATATAATGGTATATTATACATGTATATATGTCATAGTATACATTATGTATATGGTATATAGTCATGTATATAATATATATATTAGATATAAGTATGATATATATGCATGTATATAGAGTGATTATTGATGGTTATATATAATTATGAACTAACTTTCTTATATTACTATATGGGTATATATTTATTTTTTTAATCGTATTAGCAATAATATAGATATAATTTACCGTAGTAGTAAGTATTTGTATATATTATTGATATATATGATATTAATATTTAATAGAATATATATATAATAGGAATATAACAATATTACTAATTATTTTAGGTTAGATATATATATGTATTAATATAATCGACTGATGATTATATCATGGGTGAAGTATATATATCGTAGACATGACTATATTGGAGATATATATATATATATAGTATACAATATGCGAATACATACATACAGACATACGCAATACCTTACATACATACATAGCAGTACCATACATACATACAAGATATATATATATATAATAATTTAATTAAACGATTTGAAAACCATTTAAAAAAAAGACAATTAAACACGTAGTTTAAAAACCCCATTTTAAAAAAAACCATGGCAAATTGATAAGCAATAACGTACTCACAGGTATAACGATTACATGCACATACATGCATATAGTAACATAAACTTACATACATCTCATACAATATCCATGATCTCCTAATTCTATGAGCATAATACATACCTTATACATACATTACATATACATACATATACATACATACATATAGACATCATACAATACATACATACATGACAGAGACATACATACATTACATTAACATATACATACTATAGCATACATATACAATACATAAATATACATATACTACATGCTTGCATATATATACATACATAACATAGTATGAGTACATAAGTACATACATATACATACATACTACTTACATAACATACATATACATACATACATATACTATTACATACACCATAACAGTATAGCCATACAGTATACAATACTACATAGGATAATGGGTAATTACATACAATACAGTATTACGATACGATACATACACTATACATACACAATGACAGATACATCATACATACATACATGCATAGTAGTAACATAATAATGTACATGGGAATACATACATATATTTACTATACCATACATATATATATATACGTACTACATATAACATAACATACCATACTATACATACAATATACATAACATACATACATACATAGATACATAACATACATACATACAATATATATAACTACATAACTTACTATACCATAACATACATACATTAATATACATACATATATACATATAGATACAATACTTATACAATACATACATTATACATATCAATACATTACATATTACTCGTACATATAAATACATACATACATACTATACATAGAGCATACATGACATAACATAGCATTATACATACAATACACACTTACATACATATACATTACATTACATGATACAACATAAATACAATACATAATACTACATATACATACATACAAGTTTATACGTATACTTACATTATACATACTATATCAATCATACAATACATATAATACAAACATTACATATGCATACATACATATCATACATACATATACATACATACATACATTACAAGTGGCAGTGCATACTATACATACATACATACATACATACATATATCATACATAGATCATCACATACATAGATATACAATAGTAATATCATATTAGTAGGTATAGTATATATTTATTTATTATGTGTATTTTATTTGTTAGCATTATGATAGTATATAATATTATACCGCAAGTGATATACTACTTAGGTAATAGATAGTATAGAGTGATATAATAGAATGTTATATATAGATATATAATTGATATATATAGTAATATATAATATAATAGATATTATATATATATATATGTATATTAAATATAAGAATGATATATATATGATATATATATATAGAACCGGAACTTGGACGGATGTAGAAAGCTGTAGCATATATATATATATAGATTTTGTAATATATAGATAATTATGATGTGTTGTGTGTGACTGTGGTGTGTGGTGTGTGTGATAGTGTGTGTGGTGTGTGTTGTGTGTGTGTGTGTTGTTGGTTGTGTCTGTGTGTCTGTGTTGTGTGGTGTGTGTGGGGTGTAATATATATATAGGATATAAGGTATTAGATGGATATTATATGTAACCATAATATCGTATTTTATATATATATTGATATAGTGTAATGCATATATATACTATCGATAATATATTATGTGTGTGAGTGGTGTGTGTGTGTGTGTTTGGTCCAAACTACTATTATTA